GCCCGAGGGCGCTGGCGACAAGAGCGACCCCAAGGCGGGGGCCGGCGGCGGCAGGAGCAGCCCCTGTGCCAAGACGACCCCCGGGCCAGAGCCCAAGGGGGCGGCGGAGGGCGGCGACGGCGAGGGCCCCCCGAGGGAGGCGGGGGCGGAAAAGAGCGCTGGCGCAGGTAGGCAGCGGGCGCTGGTGGGCGGGCTGGGGGCGAGGGCGCGGGGCGGGGGGGCGGGGGCCTCCCTCGGCTTGCGCCGTTTTATGTGCCACTTTATAAGCGTTGGAAAGGGTTCATGCATCCTATAAGATTTCCCGGCCGTTGTAAAGCGTGTTTACGATAGGAAACCAATTTAGGTGGGCTTAAGGTAGACTTCGAGGAGGACATTAATAGCAGCAGGGAGCTTTTGCCCAGTTTTCAGGGGGAGGGGGCTGCTAGAGACTAGGTCTGCCTTCTCTCGCCCAGTGCTAAAGGGAGGAGGGAGGGGAGATTTTGAGCCAGTTTGTGAGTACGGACACCCGAGCCTCTTGCTTTTAAGGGAGGGGAGGGGGGAAGTTTGATCCTTGAACTGGACTTTGTCCAAGCCGCTGGCTGACGCGCGCCGCTGGAGTAGAGCAGATGCCCCGGCGCGCTCGCATCTCTTTCCCTCCGGGATCCAGCTCTGGGCCTGCCTCACCCTCTGCTTCCTCACCTCGGTGCCAGGCTGGCTGTGTGTGTGTGTGTGTGTGTGTGTGTGTGTGTGTGTGTGTCCCCGGGCGTGAGCACACGTCCACGTCCGCACTCTCTCCTCTGCCCGCCCATATATCATCCCCCACGACGCAGGCAGGGCCTTTCAGTGGCAGCAAGGGACATCCCCAACAGGCCGGGGCCTGGCCCTCTCGCGGTGGCCTGGGCGGGCGGGCGGACAGGGGTGGTCAGGCAACGGTCTCCCTTACCCCTCTGGTCTCTTTGCCTTCCAGTGGCCACCCAGCGGTCCCGGAAAAAGCGCTGTCCCTACACCAAGTACCAGATCCGCGAACTGGAACGCGAGTTTTTCTTTAACGTGTACATAAACAAAGAGAAAAGACTCCAACTCTCTCGGATGCTCAACCTCACTGACCGGCAAGTCAAAATCTGGTTCCAGAATCGCAGGATGAAAGAAAAGAAACTGAACAGAGACCGTCTGCAGTATTTCACTGGAAACCCCTTATTTTGAGAGCTCCAGGAAGCGCCCCGGGTCCCCCGATCCCCACTCACCCACCCTCCTCCCCACCAGCCTGCCCTCCGCAGGCCCAATGCCCTTGGGTTTAATGATGCCTCTTCTCTGTGGAACTCCACGATTCCGATTCCTTCCCACGGTCAACTCGGGACCTCCCAGCGACCACTGCAGCCTGCGGACGAGGCCGGGGACTTGGCCGAGCGGATCCTAATAAGGGGAAAATGGTAAATGCAAACGTCCCTTTACAATTTTACCGCCAATGTGCTGTTGTTCCCTCTCCCCTCTCCCAGTCCTCGTGCGGACGCGGTGGGATCAGTAGGGAGTTAGGCCGCGGGGCTCAAAGGCGCTGGTGTTTTGTTCTGAGTTTGGAGACCCCTTCCTTCTCCTTCGATGAACACAGATTATTTAAACTCTGGGAAATGTACCTTTGGTCTGTGATATCAAGGCATGAGCCACTGTCTTTTTTGTGTGAATAAATGGTTTCTAGTAAAATGGAGGTTACAGCTTCAATGCACTGTATGAATTTTCCTCTTTGAAGAAGTTTAGTGCCCGATTAGGTTATCCTAGTGGCCAGAGTCCCACTTCCACATACAACCAGAAACCGAGTGAAATGCTTTTTAATCGCGCTGAAATAAGGGTTAGGATTATTCCGCCTCCAGACGACACCGGTTTTTAAAATCACTTTAGCAGTTCATTTCCAGTTGATGGTGTGATCCAGCCATGCTGGTGCTGCCTTCTCCAGGCCATGAGCATGGGGAGCAGAAACCTAAGAAGAAATTCCTCTCCTGGCCTAGTGAACTTGGAATCTCAGAATAGACAAGAAACAATTTTAAAAACTGGTTAGAAAATCGAGATTCTCTCTTAACAGCTGTCAAGAAGTCAGGGTCCCTTAAAATAAGAAACCAAAATTAGAACCTTGCATTTTAAAAGATAGTTTGCTAAAAGGAAATGGATGGAGAGGGGTTGAGTCTTTGCTGGTGTCATTTGGGCCTGAAACAGGGAAGGTAAGCCCCCACCCTGGAAGAGGGCCAGGGGCCGCAGACTTGCTTCTCACCGCCTTTATCACTTCAAGTTAAAAAATGTGGCAAAGGCTGTGCTACATTTTATGTTGCAGGGCCAGGCCAGGCTGTTTACAAAACCTTGAACTGTCTAGACAACACCATAAAAGCCAAAGTTCTAACAGCTTAATTGGGTTATATTATACACCTTCTGGTGGGCCCAAAAGAGATTTCCGCAATGTGCAATAAACTGGAGGAGTGAGAAAAGCTTTTCTTTCTCTGAAAAGAGTAAAGTGGATCTTATGACTCTTCTCATAAACTCAAAGTAAAATAAATAAATAAATCCATAAGATGCACAGCATCCCGTGCATCTTCTGAAGAGGCATACATTTCCAAACGGAAAAAAAATTTTTTAATTGCCAAGTCTTTTTTTTTTAAGAAGGAAAAACATAAGTGCATAAGTGTATGCCTTTGAACTTCCAAAATGTCAAGGTCATCACCTTTAACCTTTCTGAATAATTAGGCGCCTTAAGGTTCTTCTGTGATTTTCAACTGCCACCCACTCTCACACATACACACATCCAGACCCCCACACACATTTATGACCACACAGAATCATACAGGGGCTCACCATAAATCTAAGCAAATCCCTAATTTCAGGATTAATAACCTTAATTTCCCTTCAAACATTTGTATAATTCAATAGCGATTCACTTGTTTTTAAAACACCGGTTAGATTAGAATGCTTTCTAGCGATGTTTGCAGTGCAGCTCAGAAATGCTGCGGTGTATTTTTGGAGCGTCTTAGATAACGGTTCTCTTTGCTCTAATGAAGAACCACGGGTTTTAAAGCAGGCGTTGGAAAGAGGAAGTTCTGTTGAGACTTAAACCTTCGTTAAATTGAAATCAATTTGTCACCCTGTCAAATAAATTAGTGCATTTTATATGATATGGAACAAAAGAAAGCTATATACAGTGTGTATATATATACTGTATATAGTTTTTAAAAGCATCTTTCAACCTTTGATAAAAGAAGAAACAGAAACAAAGCCTACAATTGAATAGTTTCGTTCGGAAGGGGATTCCTTTGTTTAGAATTCTGGGCGTCCGTTAAAATGTCAGTGCCCTAGTTGTATGATTGTTCCAGGATCTTAAAACTGGTTTATTTCTTTCTCTCCCCATCTTTTTTTTTTTTTTTTTTTAACTGCGTCTAGATGTAGCAAGCTTGTGTGTCCACCGCTGAAGGCAAGCAGAACCCATGAGCTATCATTTCCCGTTTGCAAGGCCTTGGACAGCCACACGGGGGCGCACTCACGTTCCAGAAGCCGCGTTTGGCCAAGGGGCCGCGGTACCTTGTCTTTACAGTACTGAATTATAAAGGCGATCTCAGCCGGTTAGAAATAGGCAGCCGCTAAGGTGTTTGTTTGCTGTTTTTTTTGTTCTAAGCAACCATGAGGTGTGGGAACTTGTATAAAAACAGAGAATAGGGAGCAACCAGATTCCTAAACAGACCATCGCCTAATCATTGGTTCCTTAAGATAAAGCTGTTGTAAAAAGAATACCTAGATATAACCTGGTGGTGTTAAGGAGATGTTCTTAAAGAGAAACATGTGCATTTTGAAATTGGCCATGGTTACTGCGAGTTAATTAAAGGAAAATCGGTTTTCTCGTTGATTTGAGTTTGGAAATCGATGTGAGGATAGGGCCCCCTCCAACCCCCCGCCCAAACCGCCTTGCACAATCTCTGACCGCCTGGGATGATTAAAAGGCTTTTGTTTAAGAAAGATCTGGGCGCCGACATCCTAGCTGAGTGTGCTTTCAGAGAAAACGAGACGCGTTGGGAACTAACGTGTTCGTTCTGGGCGAGGGAGCCTCGGGCAGTGCCTGGCGCGCGGGACTGCCGGTGGCGATCTGGAGGCGCGGGCAGGTTTATGGGTTCGGGTGCCACGGCAGGCTAGGCTAAAGCGGCTGCTGGGCTAAAGCGGCAGCCTGTCCCAGGAAACGTTTACACCCCAAGGCTCTGCTGAACGCGGAAGGTTTTTGAAGCAACTGGGCTTTCCGTTTGACAAAAGCTTGGTCACCCTTCCAAACTGTCCGCCGGCCTTGGGGCGCGAAGTTTGATTTTGGTACTGGCCATTGGAAGCAGTTTTCTCGCGGCGTGCCCCCCAGCAAGGCTTCTGACATTGGTGAAAGCCTATGTCTCCCCCCCCATTCTCGCGGTCTGAAGGAGAGTACATGCCCTCTTTCCCCCACGAAGTTCATTGTGAAAGCGCCCCAAGCCCCCGGAATTAGCGCCGGCCTGTTTGGCCCCCGCTGTCTCTGCCTCCCGCCCTCCAGGCCCTGGGCCAAAAGGCTCTCCGTCCGTCCGCCCCCTAAGCTGGCAGAGGCTTGTGACGGGGCTGGGGCGCCTTGAGTCTCCTGGTGAGGCGCGAGCGAAAGGCCTGGGTGTTCCCCGCGGGCTTCCCAGGCTCCCGCCTGTCTGACCGCGAGTCCAGTTTAGCTATTGTGAAGCGACTCAGTCTATGTGGAGTGAGAACACCCCCTCCCCAAATATCGTTGTGTTCCTTCTTAGGCGGCCCCAGCCGCGGCGCATCTGGCGGTGCCCGGCCCCCTTGGCCTTGGCCGGCAGCCGCCTGCGGACCACCGCTGCTTGGCGGGTCTGCGGTTCCTTTCCTCCGGAAGCGCTCGGAATGCGCCTGAGAAGGGCCGGGGATCGGACCGGGACCTCAGGGAGCTGCAGACCTGTCCCCTCCTGACCATACAGGCCGTGTGGAGCTCTCGAAGAGGGTGTCCACGAATTCTGAGACTCCAAGGTGTCAGACCCTGAAATGGAGGGAAAATGCTCAAAGTCGGTGTCTTTTGTGTCTGTAACGGGAATGAGGCTCCCGCCACTCGCCCTTTTGCACGTCTCGGTAGACCCTTCATCGCGTTCGTGGCTCCGCCAGCCTCCCCATTTGCCCCCTTGGTTTCTTCTCGCCCTGGCTGGGAGGCACACATTACAACCCAAAGGGGCGCCCTGGAAGCTTTTAATTTGTTCCCAGTCACCAGCAGCCCCCAAAGAGTGTCCCGGATCCCAGACCCCTCAGGGCCCTAATTCAGGGTGACCTTAGAAGCCCCCAGGTCTGCTTAGGCCCAGGACAGCCACTCTTCTTCTGAAAGACAGGAGAGCTCGGACGCAAGCCACTTCTGGATTACAAATGCTAATTCCTTGCTAAAGTGACCCTTCTAATTTTTCCCTGGGAAGAATTATGCCAGGGAGAATGGTATCATGGTTCAAATATGAGTGTCCATCTCCTTTATGGTGCAATATTGATTTATTATTAACAGTAACTGCTCCAACTGATCTAAAGATGATCGAAACAGCAGCTGCATTAAATACTCAAAAGCAAAATAAAGGCTCGGCTTTAAAGTTGATGCCTTTTCTTTGCATTTGTTTCCTCTCATGCTTAGGGTCTTAGGCAAACTTTCCACCCCCCTCAGCCAGGTTCATTGCATTATTTCTATTGCGATGGATTTTTTATGATAAAAAAAAAATCCCTCTCAAAAATTGTCAGGCTCTGGCCTCAAGGAGATAGTCTGAAGACAGAAATTTGAAACAGAATAAAAAATACTGAATTTTGTGAGAATGGATTTGAAATTATATCTGATCTATACACGTTTTTCCCCTTGTGAGTGCAGAAGACCTGTTTAAAACCAAATCCAACATAAGCATGACTTTGAGCTAGAAGGCCACCAGGAGTCAACGCGGAAAGGCCCCCAAATTCGGGAGGCAGATCCTGCCTGTCCTGGCTCACCGCAGACCTGCCCGCTCTGCTAGGGATCGATTGTTTTTAACCTGAATGTTTTCTTTACGTATAAATAAAGATTATGAAAGGGCATTTGATGGGCATAAAATTCCTGATTAGATTGAACAGCCTTGCCCTGCATGGAGTAGGGAGAATCGGGCAACCGTGTTCCCGGCAGCTGGCCTGGCCGAAATGCAAAGCGGAGACAGTACCGAAGCACCAGGCTGATGTGTGGGCGCCTGCTGGAGTGCGTGAGCAGGCACTTTATCCGGCCTTGGGCACGCTTAACCGTGCTGTGATCTCAGGATCTCCGTGCTGCGAGAAAGCAATTTTTGGGCGCTGGTCAGTGGCTGTTAGCTTTGGGTAGGACCTTAGCAGACCAGAGTCGAAAGTTGAGGGCTTTTCCCCTGCCTCCCTCACCCCCCCACCCAATCTTAAAAGCAGCCACCCCTGCGGAAAGGTAATGTTTAAACCTCTTGCGCTACGCCGGGCATCCCGGAGCCGAGCAGTTAGAGGCGCCAGGCTTTTAACCTGACAATGATGTTGTATTTGAACAGCTGCGTAAAGGTTTCAAAGGTCTGTCTCATTGCCACCGCAGAGTTTTTAAAAGGGGTTATTGTTTGGGCGAGGGCACTGCGAGGGGACAGGCGAAGCAGTCCCAAGGCCGAAAATAATGTCCAGCGCCTGCTACCACCAGGCCAGGGGAGATTCCTTTTGGGGAGGGGGTCAAAGGGTTTTTTGGAAAAGGTTTTCGTGAAGGAGCGGCCAGGGCTATTCCATCCCCCAGAATGCTAAAGCACTTTAATGAGCAGCGAGCGCCAAAGATCTGTTCTGTTGAGGTGGAAACCCGGTTTGTCCACAAGGTCAGTCTCTGGGCCTGAAATCCAAGGCTGGTCCGTGCCTAGGCGAGTGTGGAGAGAGAACACGGATTCTCTGTCCAGGCAGAGAGCTGGTTCACGGTCAGAGTTTCCGGGGCCTTTTCCCTTCTTGGCTACCACAAAGGGAACCCGGGAGGCAGGAGGATGGCTCCTGCGCCCTGGCCGGGGTCCCTCGCTCAGGATAAGCCTTTGGAAATCAAGGTTAAAGCTCCCCGCTGATGCCCCGAGGCCGGCGCTTCCGCAGGGCCTCTCACCAGCCTGCAACCAGAGAAGGAGGGAGGAAGTTGTTGGAGAAGTTTCTCATAAAACTCTTAGTTTCCATGGTGGTGGTGGTTCTTTAATGAGCTCGACCGCAACCCCAGACCAAATCCTCTTTATGTAACTTTCCCTCGCCAAAGGAAACAGAGGGCTAAGATACCCCCACCTCCCTTTTTTCTCCCCCTTCCTCTCTTAACCAAGCAAAACCTTGTCAAATAATTTTAGGAATTGTTCAGAACTATAAAACTCAACTTCTGACAGAAGTATAGCTTTTAATATTTGACGATTTGTGTTAAAACAAAAATTGACCTTCTTGGTTAGTAGCGAAGGGGAAAAATCAATAGTATAATTTTCAATAATTCATAAAGCGAACACCATTATGCTAAATCTTAACTATTAATCTTATCCTTTACAAAGTCTCGATTGATTTGTTAATAAAATATTTTCCCGTGTGTGGCAACAGCAGGTATAATTCTTTAAAAAACCTTCAGAAGCAAGAAAATTACCAAGTAGCCCAAGAATGTAGATGAGAATTTTATTGATCGCCCTGATTCTTCTTAATATGTATTAATAAATTCGACAACCTTTTGTACCTTGCACTTGTCAGAAACCAGTGCTTTTACAGAATCCATAAAAGGAAAACATATTTTTCTTTGCAGAAGAACCAAATGACACCTTTGCATCTCTCTCGCTCCTGCCTGGCCCAGACAGTTTCCTAAAACTTCTGGAGTCCGAGGGCGAGTTTTTCCCCTTTCCTTTTCAAATTTCTTTTCTTTCTCTCTTCCTTCCTTCCTTCCTGCTCTCTATTATCAGGATGTGAGGGAAAACCTTGGTTTCGTTCTCCTGCTGGGAGCCCGAGGGACGCTTTGCAGATAGCGACCTGCTGGCGAAGGATTGTCCCCTGGCTGAAGGCTCTCGGGGGCTGGGCCACGGTGGTCGGGGTGTGGTTCCTCGAGCGCCCAGGGTTCGGGTAGCCAGCCGGGGCGCGGAGGGGCGGGAGACAAGGCAGGCGGGCGGAGGGAGAGGGCAGCGCCGGGGCAGGGTTGGTCCTCCGGGCTCTGGGGCCAGCCGGCTGCGTGGCCTTTCGGCCCTCACGGCCCTTCTCGTCTCTGCTCCCCGGGACACTTTGGCTGCGGCTTGGCGCAGAGCTTCTTTCCTGTGGACCCCTGGGGTGGGATGTGTCAGGGCCCGGCGAATTGGACTCACCTTCCCCGACTGCCCCGGCCTGAATTAACCAGCCTTCGTCCCCACCCTGCCACCCCGGCCCCGGTCCTCTCGGGCGCGCTCTGCCTGGGTGTGTGCGGGGAATGCTTTGCTTCTGTGTGCTGGCGCCATGGCGCTCCGGCTTCTCTCCCCGCGCGTGTCCTCCCGGAGGCCCCTTTGGCCGAGCCTTTCCTTCCGCCGGCCGAGCCGGGAGATCGGGGCGGGGGACGCGAGTGGGGCGGACCGGCCGAGCGAGCCCCGGGGAGGCGGGCGGACGAGCGGCGAGGAGCGCTGGGGCGGCTGTTTCCAGCTCGCACTATCGCGGGCGCATAGTAGATGTCGCTGTTGTCCGTGCTTACGCCGCCGGCCGGCCGGGCTCGGGAACACGTGACCCGCGAGGAGGCTGCGGCTCAAGGCCATTTTCAAATCTCATTGGTTTGGTTGTCATGTGGTCGGCAGAGGCATCCACAATTACACGGGGAATGTTTTCCTAGAGATGTCAGCCTACAAAGGACACAATCTCTCTTCTTCAAATTCCTCCCCAAAATGTCCTTTGCCAACAGCTCTCCTGCTGCTAATACTTTTTTAGTAGATTCCTTGATCAGTGTCTGCAGGAGTGACAGTTTTTATTCCAGCAGCGCCAGCATGTACATGCCACCACCTAGCGCAGACATGGGGACCTATGGAATGCAAACCTGTGGACTGCTCCCATCTCTGGCCAAAAGAGAAGTGAACCACCAAAATATGGGTATGAATGTGCATCCTTATATACCTCAAGTAGACAGTTGGACAGACCCGAACAGATCTTGTCGAATAGAGCAACCTGTTACACAGCAAGTCCCCACTTGCTCCTTCACTACCAACATTAAGGAAGAATCCAATTGCTGCATGTATTCCGATAAGCGCAACAAACTCATTTCTGCCGAGGTCCCTTCGTACCAGAGGCTGGTCCCCGAGTCCTGTCCCGTTGAGAACCCCGAGGTTCCCGTCCCTGGATATTTTAGACTGAGTCAGACCTACGCCACCGGGAAAACCCAAGAGTACAATAACAGCCCTGAAGGCAGCTCCACTGTCATGCTCCAGCTCAACCCTCGCGGCGCGGCCAAGCCGCAGCTCTCGGCCGCCCAGCTGCAGATGGAGAAGAAGATGAACGAGCCCGCGAGCGGCCAGGAGCCCGCCAAAGTCTCCCAGGTGGAGAGTCTCGAGGCCAAGGGCGGCCTGCCCGAGGAGAGGAGCTGCCTGGCTGAGGTCTCCGTGTCCAGCCCCGAAGTGCAGGAGAAGGAAAGCAAAGGTCGGTATGAGCAGAGTTGCCACCCCAGCGGGGCGCGCAGCCCGGGAATACGGCGGAGAGGGAACGCCCGGGTGTCCTGTGCCGAGCCCAGGCAGCCAGGCGGGCACCCGACTCGGCAGGTGCTGCTCATCTGGCTTTTAGAGGGGGCACTCCCCGCGCGGAGATGGTCCCTGCTTCTCCCCCGCTGCCCAGGCCCTCTCCTCCAGTCCTGGCCCCAGGCTGATGGCTCCCGGGCAGAGGGAGGGCTTGCTGGGATTTTACTTATTTTCCTGAGCTAGACCTGAAACGTAACAAACAGAGCGCAAAGGAGACCTGCGGCTCGTAAACACCGTCCCAGAACCTCCTTTCTCCCGCTCATATTTGCAGCCCCAGCTTTGCCTTTCCCCCAGTGATGATTTTACGGCGGTCCAAGGCGCAGTGTTTGTGTTCAAATGTATGCACCCCGCGTCCTGCGAGCTTGGTGCCGTGGTAGGGGCGGGGAGGGGCGCGAGATGGCCGGGCGAGTCGGTGCTTGGGGTGGGGTACAGGGCTTCCTGGGCTGTGTAACCTTGGCTTTGTCTGAGCAAAGTGCGGTAGGCTTTGCAATTCATCCGCAAAGGGGGCAAAGGCAAAGGGGGGAATGGGACCCGCATCGCCCACCGCAGGGCCGGCCTTAGGGCTGGGCTAGGGGAAAGAGCTGAAAGCTTTGGCTTTTTGAGAAGCAGTTTTGTCCCTGAGCCTCTCCCCCAGTTCCCAGAGGTGGGCCACAGTAGGGGCCACATTTCGGGGTGGGGGGAATGCTTTCGTGAGAGGGCTAGAGGGCATTCGAATTCAGGAAATTCAGGAGAACCAACAAAGCCCAGGCAGGGCAGAGAAGGTGAACTAGCTTCCTCCGGTGTCTTTTGAAGGAGAATGCGCACCTAGAAAGCTGGCTGAGGGTTCCCCGCCTGTCCAGAAGAGGTGAGGACGAAGGGCAGATTGGGGGACCTGAGGCCGGAGTGGGTTTGGCAGGCTTGCTTTGGATGTGGCTGCGTCCACTCTGGCCCTCTTATAAGCTGACCAGCTAGAATGTTGCTTGGGAGATACTGGAAAGTTAACTATTGTACTAGTGTTTGTGCAAGTCTGTAAGTTGAGAGGGAACCCTGATGCAGAGGGGGAGAGTGCTTTCCCATTGTGTCATTTTGGGCATTTAGCTTTAATCTGCCATCAACTAAAAATCCTCTCCAGGGTCCACCTCATGTGAGTAATGTTTAATACCAGCATTTCCCAAAGCGGCCTGCCATCGGGGTCATGGCCAAGGGTACATTTGAACAGACTGAGAGAGAAAAAAAAAAAAAAATCTTGATTTTTTTTGTTCTTCTTCTCCCTTTAATTTTGTTAGAGGAAGTCAAGTCTGATACTCCGACCAGCAATTGGCTCACTGCAAAGAGTGGCAGAAAGAAGAGGTGCCCATACACTAAGCACCAAACGCTGGAATTAGAAAAAGAGTTCTTGTTCAATATGTACCTCACCCGCGAGCGCCGCCTAGAGATCAGTAAGAGCGTTAACCTCACCGACAGGCAGGTCAAGATTTGGTTTCAAAACCGCCGAATGAAACTGAAGAAGATGAGCCGAGAGAACCGGATCCGAGAACTGACCGCTAACCTCACCTTCTCTTAGGTCCGAGGCCGCGCGGAGGCCGGGATAGGAGAGGGAGCACCGCGTTCCAGGGCCGAGTGCTGGAGAACTGGGAAGGCGGAAACAAAATCTTCTTTGCTCTTTGTTTTCTGTTTTGTTTTGTTTTGTTTTCCTGCTAGAATGTGACTTTGGGGTCATTCTGTTCGTGCTGCAAGTGATCTGTAATCCCTATGAGTATATATATATTAAAAAAAACCCTAGCACGTGTAATTTATTATTTTTTTCATCGTAATGCAGGGTAACTATTACTGCGCATTTTCATTTGGGTCTTAACTTATTGGAACTGTAGGGGCATCCAGCCAGCCAGCCATCCATCCATCCATCCAGCCATCCAGCCATTCATCCAGCAATGTGACTTTTTCAAGTTTTTCCTAACGCAAAAGGTCTCTGTGTGTGGCTAGTCCATGATTTTATGGCGTTTTGAATACATCCAGTACTTTCAAAATTACATATATATATATGAAAGAATAAGAAAACCTACAAGCTTTGGGGGGAGGGGGACTAAAAAAGCACATTACAATGTATCTTTTCACAAATGAATTTAGCAATTGTCTTTGGTGAGATGGAATATTGACGACTTATGCCTTGTAGCCTTTCCCTTGTGGTGCATCTGTGGTTTGGTAGAAGTACAACAGCAACTTGTCCTTTCTGTGCATGTTCTGGTCGCATGTATAATGCAATAAACTCTGGAAACGAGTTCGCTCCCTCTGCTTTCTGAAATGGAAATATGTTAGGGTGAAAATGAAAGCCTTTTGTGAGATTATCTTCCAGTTAAACTGCCTGTTTGGGGCAGTGGGTGGGGAGTAATAAAGAGCTGGGAAGGGAGATGGGAGTGAGAAGCTGGAGGAGGCCTAGGGTAGAGGAATTTGGTGGTGCCAGAGGGGGAGTGATAATCCAGCCTGCATACGCTGTTTTCATAGTTGGGGTAAAAAGGGGCCCTCTTTCTCTCCCACTCCACTCCTCAAAGTTAGTCACAATTGTACTCTCAGTGGATGTGAGCTTCCTTCTAGCCACCACCTGGTAAGTATGCCTGTGCCCCAAGTGGCTTTTTTTTTTTTTTCCTTGAAGCTGCCCACTTTGTGTCTCCTTCCTTTTGGTTTTGGCTGTGTTGTTTTTAATGCTTTCAGTGAGGTCTTGGCGATTTCTGGCTAGCATGCCATTGTCAGGAGCCGGGCTGAAACCAGTCTTTCCCACCTGGAAGCAGCCAGGCCTCCATTACAGGCTCAAGGACAAGCAGCAGCTTAGCGATGCATCGGATCCAATTCTGCCCCTCCTTTCCCTCGACCCCATCCCTAACCAAGTGCAAGATAGCAGGCCCCACTGAAGCTGAGGATGGGTGAGTTTTCCCATCCCACTTTGCCTTGGTTTCCTTGTGGAAGGATTTTAGGCTCAGCCATTAACCTTTTAGTGGCCTACATGAAATTTTTTAAAAGGAAAAAAAGGTTCTTCCCAGTCAATCCTCTCCCTTTTACAAAATATTGTATGTGGGGGGCAAGGGAGGGAACAAAGCATGACTGAAAGAATTTGCAAATGAACATGACTTTCCAGGAAGCCCAGTGTTCCAGCCACCTCCGCAGCTGGGGAAACTCGGGCCAGCTTTCATGGGCTTCTGCAGGATCCCAGCCCAAGAGAACAGACTGATCCAGTCCTGCTGGGGAGAAGGGAGGAGAGGCCTTGGGGAGAAGAGCTAACAGAGAATTCGTTGCCCAGGTACCGATGTGGTTTCAAAGGGTCTCTGCCAGCGTCAGGCAGTTTCACAAAACAGTTCCTTTACAATTTTTCCTTTTTCTAAACAGTCCATTTAGGTGCTCTAAGCTTCAGAGCCCTCTCCCAGAGAGTCTTGGGACACGCAGCACTTATTTCAAATTTTAAACTTCCTCCTGAAAACCAGGAACCTTCCTTGGTTCCACAGAGGGACCATTTCCTGGGAGTTGGAGGGGATGGCTCGGAATCAGTGCCAGGCCGGGAACACTGAAATCCATCTGCCCTAGACTTCCTTCGGTTGGGCCGGGAAAAGAAGATAATTTTAACTTCGCTGTTTCTTCCGGCGATGTGGGGAGCGCCATTAGTTTTTGACAGGGGGCCATGCCTCCAGGGAAAACCTGTGCTTTACAGGCAAAGGCACCCCTATGGAACAAAATCAGAAAGCCATGGGCAAAGGCCATCAATCAGACCAAAAGTAGCCATTTCCCCCTTTCTTTCCGGGGCTCGAGGTGGGCCGGGAGCCCTCTGAGGATGCGGTGGGCAACTTGTAGAGCGAGGAAGATGCTCTCTGCAGCTGGCGCCCGGGCCGCTTTTGTCTCGGCTCCCAGCCGGGCTTCCGAGGCTTTGTACCATGGATTTGGGAGTGACAATGGGCATTTCCGTCAGATTCAAGGCTGCCCAGACTTACCTCTGGAGGCAAAAAAGAAAAGAAAAAAAAAAAAATCAGAGTGGCCCCCGGAATCCGCTTGGAGGTCTTAGTGCCAACGGCGCTAGGCCTCCCTGCCGGGGGAGAGGCAGCTCCTGCTTGCCTCACTGAGGCAGGGCCCGGAGCGGGCGGGAGCGGGCCCCGCGCTGGCATCTGGGCTCTGCCCTGAGGCGTGTTCTCTTCCAGGGCCTTCCCAGTAGCCGCGGAGGAGATGAGCACCCTGGCCGCTGCTGCCCGCGTGGTGCCGACTTACCGCCCGCCGGCCCTTCGGAGGGCAGACAGAAGCCCCCGCCGTGGCCGCCGCCGCCCTCGCTGCGCCCGGCCCCGCCCGGCCCGAGTACCAGGCCGCCCCAGCTCAGCCCTCGGGCCGCGGCGTGTGCCCAGCCTCACGTCGGGGGTGTGTGTGGCTGCGCGTGCGTGTGTAAGTGTGGCAGGGGGAGGGGGCCCTCTGAGCTGCTCCATCCGTCCGTTTTATTAGGGACACATTAATCTATAATCAAATACACCTCATAAAATTTTTATTGAAAGGCATAATATCATTACAGAGGTCTTCCACCTGTTTTAAACAACACGACAAGCTGTGAGTGTGTGTGTGCAGGGGGGTGGGGGTTGGGTAGGGAGAGAAGCGAGGGGAGACGATCTCCCCTTGGGCGCCAGGGGGCCGCTTCTGAAGTTAGGCCTGCCTCGGGCCGCCCCGGCCCTGGGCGTCCGGCTACTCCTGGCCTAGGCTAAGCGCTCGGTGCGCCCAGGACGCGCCATCCACGGCTGGTAGCCCGGGAGCTGGGGAGCCGTCGCCAGCTCCCGACTGCCGGACTCAGGCGGGCAAGAAGAGGCGAACAAATAGTCCCCAGCGCCTCCTCCGGCCAAGGCTGGGCCTGTAGTCCCGGCCGCCACTAGGCGGGCCGGGCCCGGCCCAGCGCGAAAGCCGGGGCCGGCGGGCTCTAATTGCGGCGCTTATGTTGATGATGATTTTTTTTTTTTTTAAATCACAGCAGCCCCCAGTTTAGCGGACTGATTTACTCCGGGTATTGGTAAATATGATCACGTGGGCCGCGCGACCAATGGTGGAGGCTGCAGCCTGCGAACTAGTCGGCTGCTCCGGCGCCGGCGGGGAGCGGCGCGGCGGCGGGCAGTGTAACCTTGGGTGGGAGCGCGCGGCGCCTCAAAATGTCCTCCAGTGGCACCCTCAGCAACTACTACGTGGACTCGCTCATAGGCCATGAGGGCGACGAGGTGTTCGCCGCGCGCTTCGGGCCGCCGGGGCCCAGCGCGCAGGGCCGGCCCGCAGGTGTGGCCGACAGCCCGGCTGCCACCGCCGCCGAGTTCGCGTCGTGTAGTTTTGCCCCCAAATCGGCCGTGTTCTCCGCCTCGTGGTCCGCGGTGCCCGCCCAGCCCCCGGCGGCGGCGGCGATGAGTGGCCTCTACCACCCGTATGTGC